GGCGTCCACGAGCTGTCGATCCTAGGCAGGGGAAAACTATCTTTTGGGTATGCTTTGTTGAGGTCGGTGAAGTTGACGCAGGTTCGCCATTTATCGTTGGGCTTCTTTACTAAAACCGAGTTGGCAACCCAGCTTGGATAAAGCGTTTCTCAGATGGATCCATTCCAAAGGAGATTATCTACCTCAAGTTTCAAGGTAGCATATCGCTCCGAATCCATCGCTCTTCTCTTTTGGTGAACCGGCTTGGCTTCATTGTCGATGTTCAATGCATGGCAAATAATATTCGGGCTGATCCCGACCATATCTGCATGCGACCATACGAACACATCGATATTCTCTTTGAGGAAGCTAGCCAATTCGGCGGCGAGCTGGGGGTTGAAATTGCTCCCAATCTTCAACACTCTGTTCGGCTCGCTCTGGTTGACCGGTACTTCAGACAGATCCTCAACTGGCCCACTAGAAGGGCATTCTTGAATACAAGGATCCATATTATCCTCGGCTGGGCTAGGCTGTGACTCAATCCTGCTGATCGCTATTGCCTGTCGGGAAATGTCGTGCGAGATGCCCTTCCCCTTGCACGCCATCTGCACTGCCCTTACATAACAGTCGCGAGATGCACACTGAGATCCGCTAACTTTCCCTATCCCCGTCGGGGTGGGGAACTTTATCTTGAGATGGTATATCAAAGTGATCGCCTTGAAGTTTTTCAGCAGAGGTCGCCCCAGGATACCATTAAAAACAGATGGGCAATCCACTGCCAAGAATTCAGTTACCTTGGTTACCTCGTCAAAGTCACCCAGCATGACTGGAAATGAGATCATTCCTTTGGGGATCAGGTGATCCCCTGTAAAACCATATAGGGGGATTGAGGCGGGCTTCAGTTCAGCCTCGTCCAAATTCATTCTCTTGAAAGCTGTCTGGACAGGATGTTCACAGCACTTTCGTTGTCCACCAACATTCTGTGGACGTCGAAGCCCCCTATTAGGGGCGTGATCACGAGAGCATCATCGTGGGGATGATGCAATCGAACTCCGTCCTTTCCGGAGAAGGTAATTTCTTCCTCCTTGCGAACCTTTGGTGGTCGTCGCGTCGTGTTCATCACACTGATAGGATCGTGATGGATTGTGTGAGCATATCTTTCCTGGGCACCTCACGAGTTCCCCATGAGGTGTGGCCCCCCAAAGATCATTCCGACGCTATAGATACCCTTGCGATCACGACGCTTCTTTCCTGGTTCCCCTTGATTTTTCTCCTATACGGGAGTGGAGTCATCAATATACTCTTTGAAATGCCCCTGTTTGATGAGATCTTCGATTGCCTATTTGAGAGCTCGGCACTCATCGGTGTGATGCCCATTGTCTTGATGAAAACAACAGTATTTTTTACTATTTCTGGCTTATGGGGGATTTTTCATGGGCTCAGGCTCTCCGAGCAAGCCGGCTTCTTCTGACTTGTCAAGAATAGCCGATACAAACGTATTCAAATGCGTATACTGATTCCTATTGCGATTGCGACAAGGAACTGGAGCATAAGACTTTTTGGGCTCGAACCGTGGTTTCTTTCCTTTTCGTTGATCGTCATTAGCCCATCTGCGATCAACTCTCCTACTTTCCCCCTGATTAGGCGCACTACCTAAAGCGCTGGGGTTGCAATGGTGGAGTGCTGCTACGAAGTTTTAAATATGGAGGTACTTCTCTGCAAGGTTGTAGAAGTGGGTGAGGGAAACATCATCCTCAGCCTATAGCTCTTTCCATAGGTCGGTCTGTGGGCGAACTCCTGCTATGATGAGAGTCTAAACAGACTCTTCGGGAGTGTGAGCTACCTTATTAAGTTCTTTGTGGAATCGGTTGATGTAAGACTGGAGGGATTCATCCCTCTCTTGCCTTATGTTGCTGAGGTAGCTTAAAGGCATTGAGAATTTTCGGTTCGCTTGGAAGTGTCTCAGGAACGTTGTGCTCATTTGAGGCCACGAGTTGATTGATCCCACTGGGAGTGACCTGAACCACCATTTAGCATGAAAGGTTAGGGTTACTACCAAACAACGCCACTTCGCCAAATCTGAAACCTTGTGAAGCTCCATCAGGTTGTTGAATTCATACAAGTGATCTTGCGGATCAGAATTTCCATCGAACGCCCGCATATCGGGCATTCTAAATCTTGATGGGAGAGGGGTGGCTAACACTGCTGGAGAAAAGGGAGACGCTACTGTGACCTGCCCTTGCTCATTTTGCTGAGCTTTTAGCTGATCTAGAGCCTGCTGCAGCTCTTCAATCTAAGGCAGCGAAGCTATCTGGGGATTACTTTCCCCCATGCGAGTTCGACCCTCATGATTGCGGTTGAGGAAAGTCCGGACGTCAGATTCCTCTTTGCCTCGGTCGGCAGTTCCGACCACCCTTGACACATGCTTGCTAGAGTCGTGTGATGGCGATGAATGGTGCGGGAAATTTTCACGACCTCCGTGGTGGTACGAACCACCCCGCGAAGTGTGGGAACCTCTCGCACATTGACGATCAAGATCGTTTTTCTGGCGGTGATGAGAATCACCCCGCCTAGCACTTTTACGGGAGTGCTCATGTGACGTGGCATGGGACAGCTAGGGATGCTATCTTTCACTGAGCCTCAACGCCACGGGTATTCTACTCGGGACGTGGTCGGTGTTTGCCAGCCCTTTAGAGCCTTTAGGCCCGCTATTCCCCACTTGCTTACCTTTCTTTCAACTTGCTACGGTGCGCACGGCCTGAGTATTACCCTTCTTCACGTTTTCGCGTAACCTGCAGGAGTTTTTGGTGGTTGCACCACCCCATTTGATTTGGATGGTGTGCCCTAGTCCAAACGGTCCACCCTTTGGTTGACCGTTTGGAAAGTATTGTTGAACCTCTTCAGATAGCTCATGATGGCAGGGTCAAGTTATGAACTTGAAGGGATATCCCCTGCGGCATTTTGTGGAACTGAGGGCACCTCGGGAGGAGTGTCCTCCTGTACATGGGGGATCTCCTCAGCACCATGATTGGTTCACTTAGGTTCAAATTGACGAGCCATTTGTTGTTATAGGACTAGTTAGTCAGAGATTCTCCTGATGAAGGACGAATACTAAATCAGACCTCCTTCTAGTGTCAAACTATTGATGCGTGATTTTGACACCAACTAAACGCATGTGTTAAATGTTGAGCTGGCCCAGAAGACACACGTGAATGGGGGATTGAGAATGTAAATGGTGGCAAGACAATGTTTAAAGTGGTTCCGATGCTTAAACAAGCGAATCCTACATCCACTGATATTGTATTTCTATTTGAAGGATCAGGTCGCGGCTTAGCAAGCTGACTTTGGAGTGTTGAGAATACAAATGAGGGAGAGAGAGAGCTATTACAGAGCGAAATTAGCTAATCAAGAGTAAAAAATGAGCGAATCCCACAAACGGGAGAGAAGCTCTCTATTTATAGTGGGATACATTGGGGTAATGATTGCTAAATCTGTAAAAAGGGGTCAGCTACCGTGCAAATCCTTCTTTGCGTCTTATTCTTCACCTACTCGCGTGGTTTCCTCATTTTATGCAGGGATTGGACACGTGGACGACATCCAGCCTTTCGTCAGTCTGGTGCGCACCCATTGCACTGGCAGGAGCATGCTGCTCACACCAACACGTGACATGGCCGCACTTGAATGGCTGCAGGATCTGCCTAGACCCTGACCACTTGTGCTGACTAGGCTCTACTTTAGCCCTTCTTTTCCAGGCATAACAAACCAGTAATGCATATACATATTTGTTGAAAATTTTCTACCCAACTCTTGTTCCCAAAAACATGAATTTCATAACTAAAATGGAAATGTTAAAAATAAATGCGAGTTGCACATATTTTCTCCCTTTAGCTGCCACCAATAAAATACAAAACAAATATTTATATTAGACTTTACCTTCTTAGAGAAACACAGGCGGATAAGAAACACTAAAGAATAATTTTTTAATTTAAAGTTATGAATAAGATATCGAATTAATATATTCTTGAGAGTCTGGTTGAGCAGCTAAAGACCAATCTAACACATTTCTTCTTTATTCCTAAAATATGTATATTGTTTAGAACATTTTGGATTCACTGCTAAATTGAATTAAAACTTTTAAAATTCAAGGTATAATATATTTTAGATTGAGAGAATGGGTACGGGCTAGGGCTGGGTAGGGCGGTGCCATGCCCACCTTTGTCCTCGATGTTGGGGAATTTCATTGGGCCTGGGCCCATCTTGGCCTTCAGCTGTTTCGGCTCCCTACCCTGTTCAGGCCAGGGCAGGCCAAACGCCCATCCCTAATTTGGGTTGCCCTGGCACATTGCATTGTTACGGTGTACGGATTTATCCTTTCCTTGTACTTGCTATAATTTAAAATCTCTAAAAAGGGCTTGTGGCCAAGGTATGAGGCAAGATTTTTCTTGTCCACCAATGCAAGACATAATCTCACAATAAAACTTTGCTTAAATTTGCGAAGTTGGACTATAACATACTACAAGTGAGGCACCAGAAGCAACTCAGTGACATCTTAAAGTAAGTTCATATTTTTAATTACATCACAAAATTGATTTACAACTTTATTTTTATTTTATTAGTATATTTTCTCAAGGTTGTTCACCACCCCCACCCCCCCAAAAAAAAAAAAAAAAAACAAAACTAAAATGAAAAGTTTTAGAATATTAGTGAAGTTATCAACAATCATAATCATTTATATGGTGAAAAACGAGTTATATATTTGGCCCTTTCATTTAATTTTTTATATATTGCCTATACTAACTTGTAAAGAGGAAGCTTTTTTTTTTTTTTTTTTTTTTTTTTTCAGTTTTTATAATTACGGTACACGATATGGTATGATATAAATGAAGCTGTATAATTTCAGGTGGCGGAAAAATCTAGAATTGATTACAAAGCTGCCATATATTAGAGACCGAATGGTGGAAGAATATTTTTGGATCTTGGGAATGATCTTTGAGCCACAATACGCTGACGGCATAAAGAAAATGACGAAAGTTTTTTGTCTTCAAATTGTCTTGGATGATACGTACGATTCCTATGGTACCCTTGATGAACTTACACTTTTAACAGAAGCAATCAGAAGGTTAATTAAAGACATATTGCATACAGCTTAAAGTGAACCGTCTGAATTTCATAATAGATTTAGAAATTTTATATTTATAATCATTTTAATTTTCAAATTCTGCCTTCAATTTTCATAAGGAATGTGAATGGTTAGTTGACTTTCAGATGGGACATTGGCGCCCTAGATATGCTTCCAGATTACATGAAATTTATTTATAAGTCACTCTTAGATTTTTTCGCTGAAATGGAGGAAGATATGAATAAGGAAGGAAGAGCATACTGCGTAGATTGTCCAAAAATGATGGTAGGTGATATATATTAAGCTTTGCTCTTCGTGTGGTTTTACGCATAACATGAATAAATTTTCTCAGATTTGAACTTTAAAATGGGTACAGTAACAGCTACAATAAACAACAAAAATTGTCTTGCTGTAAAAAAATTATCTACCTCTATTCATTGAAAGGACATGATTAGAATGTCACTTTATATTCAAATTTTGTTTTTACTTTCTTGGGTAAGGTTTTTAATATCGAGTTTAATTGTATTGTCCTTAGCAGCAAAGAGTGGTCGAAGCATATTTTGCTGAAGCCATATGGTTCAATAGAGGGTATTTTCCAAGTACATTTGATGAATATATGACAGTTGCACTGGAAACTGGTAGCTGCCGATTGACGATAGCGATGATCTTCTTAGCCATGTGTGCAACTAAAGAGGATTTTGATTGGTTTTGCTCTGATCATAAGATTATAAAAGCAGCAGATCGTATCGCCAGACTCTTGGTTGACAAAGCGTCTCAGAGGGTATGAATATGAATAATAAAAAATGCTCAATAATTAATTGTTTACCAAATTAAGTTATATATTTTGGATAATATTTCACATTAATTATCTAACAGTGTTCATATATTATATATGAATTAGTTTGAGCAAAAGAGACACTACAACATTATGCATTTCTAGCCATGACGTTCATTGTAGCTAAAAATATGAATTTGCGTAGCTAAATGGTTTAGCTACAAATGTGATGTTTTGTAGCTTATCGTAACTAGAAGTGGCACAGCTAAACGTTAGCCATGTAACTTTTTGCTTACGTAGCTAATCGTTTATATTTTTTGCTATTAATGAGATTAATATGTAATTAAAAACTTTGATGTTTTTGCCACAATAATAATAAGCTTATAGCAAAAGCTTTGCCTTTATAGCCATGAAGAATAGATAGTATAGCTATGTTTGCATTTTAGCTACATAAATATAAATTTATAACTAAAACTTGAAAATTTCTGCTGCAAAAATAGTATCCATGGCAAATATATTAATATTTTGGCTACATGAACACTAAATTTGTAACTAAATAAAAAGATCATTTGCCACATATATAGTAAATTCGTAACTAAATATTAAATTTTTGCCACGGACATATAAAAGTCATATCTATATATGAAAAGATATTGCTATGGACATAGTGTATTAATAGCTAAATATTGAAATTACTTGTTATAAATACTTTTGATTTGTAGCTAAATATTATAATTATTTGTTATAGAGCAAATAATTTATATCAAGAATTTATAATTTATTGCTTCGATTAAAATTAATTGTAACAAATATTGCTATAATTAACAAATTTAATAATAATTACAAATTTATAGCAATATTTTTATATTAAATAGATAATATAATGTCATGAGAAAAATTCTAATATAAAAAATATAACATTAATAAAGTCATTTTCAACCAAATAATTGTCTACTCATAAAATCTTTCATCCTAGTAATTAAAAATGTTATCAACTAATTTTTTTTTACAAAATATGAATGTTTCAATGTCATAGCAACCTTTCCTGACCATTTAAGAATTTCCACCAACCTGCAATATCAAATTTGAAAAAAAAAAAAGGATTAATCATATAGACTAATGTAATTATTGCATATCACTTTATGATTAATGTAAAGGAAAAATAGTTTTCATAGTATATATGCAATTTTCAAAATAACTTATAATTTCATCCAAAGGGATTTGGTTATTTGTTTAAGATTGTTGACCTTGTGTTGAAGCATCATCATGAACTTCTCTTCCCATAGTCTATTCATCTCCTCCATTTGCCTTTTTACTTCTTCTAATTTCTCATTTGCTTCCTCTTTGCCTCCTTCACCCTTTCATTTGCTTCCTTCCTAGTTGTTTGTACTTGTTTCATAAGTTATGCTTTAGTTGGTCTACTTCCAAAACATTCAGTAATACTTTTTCCTGAACCATAAGCACGCAAATAGCCATTTTTCTTCAGACCCAAGGACCTCTTCAAATATTTCATCATCATTCAATAAGATTTGTCCTTCTACTTGTTTTTTTAATCAATCAATCTGTGACTACAAAATAAATTTATAAATTAGCTTGGATGTGTGTGCATAATAAAAAAATCAAGAAATAGTTAAAGAGAATACAAAGCTATTACAATAATGTCTTCTATACTAGATTCAGCTTGCTTTCCTTTCTTTCTTTTGTGAGATTCAATCCAAACTTCAACACGAGAAGGAGTATATAAAACTGAATTTTTTTAATTAAAAAAAAAACTGGGGAAATTAGAAACAGCAAGGTCTCTTATTCATATTTGACAGGTTTCTTGTTCAGGTTTATATCAATGACTTCCATTGCGTGAATTGAAACATTTTTATAGTAAAAGTCAAGTCATACTAATTAAACTCGTCATACTAATTAAACTCGTCATTGATGAATTTTAAAAGAGAGAGGCAAAAATCATGGGCCACGGAAACTTGTTTCGCTTTAAAATTAAATTAAACATAGTTCCACATAATATATATACTTTAAACTGAACTATATTAGTAACTGAATTTGCATGATAAGAGAATTTTGAGTGGGACCAAAATCCAAACTACAAGGTCACTTAAATCATGTGATAAATTATTTTAACCCATGTGAAATTTATTTGTTACAATTTCTGCGTGTGCGGAGGATTACCTCCCCTCGGATATTGGCTCTTTTAAGTTTTGGTTATGTTTAATTTTCCTGTTTACTACGTTATGTTTTATTCTATGTTTAATATTTGGGTCTTGCGCTATCCTTACCATTTGAAGTGATATTACACATCCAAGAGGTTGAACTTACGCACATGGAATCTTCTTCAGCTGTATCTACGTTTACTGCTCCCATAAATACTAGCTTATCTAGATCTTCTTCTAAAGTAGACAGTTTGTATGAAATATCTTATATCCCAGAAAATAAAAAAATCCAAGACACTATCCCTCCCATTGTAAATCCTAATACAGCCTTTTCCAAGTCTTCGTCTTCTTTGTCTAAAACCTTTAAAACTCTTGTCCGTCCTTCTAGAAAGCCAGTCAAAGAGTATGTCCAGACTAGTACTTTTGACAAGTGTCAAATTCCAGCCACATCCCAAGAACAATATGTTACTTTGGAAATCCCTCAAGAATCCATTACTCAATGGATTTGTGAAGGATACTCTCATGTGCACTTTGGCGCTATCCGACTCGCTCTATCTTATCATGTCAGAAAAGGACTCCCAGTCTTTGTTCGAATTGCTTTATTGGACACCAGATTTGTCCAATATCAACATGCTTGTATAGGGACAGCACAGACAACTTTGAATGCTAGGACAGTCATTATGACACTGTTTCCTAATTTCAACATGTCTCTCTCTGATGTTCATTGCTCTAAGGCTCTTAAAGTTCAATTACAGATCGTTGGTGCAGATTTAAATCCAGGAAGTATTGCAGCTACTTTGCATTATCAAATGGTTTGACGAATCCAAGACCATGCTCTTGATCTCACTATCCCTGCGACTACTGATGCACTGCTCCTTAGTGTTGACTCTCAGAATACTCCTCACTACATCAATATTCCAAGGCAAATTTCCAGAGATGATTTGATTAAATTGTTACCCGATTCTTGGGTGATGAGTTACTAGTCTCTTAACAAAAAAGAAACTCCGGTGGTTTCTACATAATCTACCATGCATGATAACAGTGACGAAACAACAACTATCAGATTTAAGTCTCCAGCAACTCCCAGTGCTCCACCTTTGAGTTTTCGACAAACTGAATTCATGATTACTCCGGTCATACCCACTACAGCAGTACGGGAACCTGGAATTTCCATTCATTCTTTTCAACAATCTGGTGCTCCTGTCTATCATCAATATGATCCAGTCACTGGTCACACTCCATTTGATCTTGACTGCCAATGCTCGGAATGCCGTGATGATCCTATTTGGGAAATCGATGGGCATTATCTTCCAAGACGAAACTATTTCAACCAGAAAAAGAAGAAAGCTCGCTGCAGTCAGATAGATCTTCATTCCCGATTTGAAGAACATGATCCTGAAGTTGGTCTTCTTGGTCAACCCTCTGGAAAATTTGACTATTATGTCAAATATTCTCCCCCAGCCAGGAACGATTCACCATCCATTAATCCCTCATGGGACATCCCTCTGAAACCTCAACCCAAATCACCTTTAAAACTATCCAAACCTGCTAAATCCTCTTACTTCAAACAGCCTTTACCATATTGTCAACAGTCTTTGTGGTGGATTGCAAAAGAACATAAACCAACCCATTCACCCCTTGCTCATACTCCCCCTGTTCAGTCCGTTATGATGATCCAATCCCCTGAGCCCTCAAAGACAGGACAACATTTCAATTATGACACATATTTTCCTTCTCTTCAGGAAACTGCCACTCAACAACCAAGAGTTGTTCCTTCCAAAATTATACAGCCTGATGGATCCACACCCAAACTCTCGCAAGCTGAGGCAGTTCTCAATTGGCAGACTAAAAATGCTTTAGCCCAAAACAAAACCATTACTAGACTTGAACAAAAACTGGATTTAGTAGCTCATCAGAAGGACTCTCAGTCTCAGAACCAAACTATGCTGATTTCTCGGCTACAAAAACAAATTGATCATCTCCAAAACTGAATTGATCAGCTCCATCAGGAATTAATGCACATTGTCAGCAGCTCTCATGGCTATTCAGCTCAGTTTCTCCAGAAGGAAACAGAAATGAAGTCATTAAAAACCCAAATGGCATCGCTTCAGCAGGAATATCTTAAGCACAAACTTAGACAACCACAGACTTTCCCTGAAATATCATTGGTAGCATGGCCACAACCCTCTTTTTCCCCTTTCCCAAAATTTAGCCAACATTTGGTCTCACCTCATATCCCTTCAGGTGCTGTTCAAGCTTTTGGCAACACTGAATAATTATATGCCAATCTCCGCAAAGAACGTGATGAAAAGATCAAGCAGGAACGAGAACAAAAGAAGTGAGAAAAGTATTCTGCTACACCGCAGGCCCCATCCGCTGATATTCCTGACTCTTTCTCTTCCAGTCACTCAGATCCTCCATCTCCTAAGCCTCATCATCATTTATCTAAGGATAAGGCTCTAATGCACATAATGATGATGGAAGACCGCCAACCTTCTGCTAATCCAGACTCTTCAGGAAATCCCTTCTCTTCCAATTTTATGAGCTTTTTTTTGAGAGACATGGCAGAAAGGCAACGTCTTGCCACTTCGGGTCTTTCTCAGGATTCTCTATCTACCTTCCAAACAGAATCAAAAGCCGATATACCTTCGACTGATGAATCGTTTGAAAGTAACTTTGACTCTGACAGTAATACTTCTAATCAACATCCTCATGTTTATCCCCAACTGATGACCCATCAACCTGAATCGTCCAGACCACTTATTGTTTCTGAGGTCGATGATGAGATGCCTGAAGGTGATGATTCCATTCCAGACTCTCCATCTATGTATCGACAATCTCGTCATACTATGG